GACCAATCAGGAAGTTTGCCACTCAAAAAAACATACTTCTTCCATGTGTAAAATTTTTATTATAGAGGTTTTTTTTAAAAAAAATTATTAGCTGGGCAGTGGTAGCACACAACTTTAATCCCAGCAATTAGCAGAAGCAGACAGATCTCTATGAGTTTGAGGCCAGCCTGGTCTATAGAGTTAAGTTCCAGTACAGCCAGGGCTACACAGAAAATCCCAGTCTTGAAAATCAAAAGCATTTTTAAAAGAATTATTTATTTATATATTTTATGAATATGGTTCTTTTCCCTATGTAAATCTACACAACAGAAGAGAACATAAGACCCCATTAGAGGAAGTTGTAAGGTATAATGTGGGTGCTGGGAATTGAACTCAAGACCTCTGGAAGAGCAGCCAGTGCCCTTAAACAGTGAGCCATCTCTCTAGCCCTTATTTCATGGTTCTGGGGCAGTAGTGGTATTTGTGTGTGGTCTATCTGCATGAGCGAGTGTAAGCCACATCGGCAGAGGACAACTTCATGGAGTCAGTTCTCTCCTTCTACCTTAAATTCTAAGGATTAAACTCTTGTCACCAGGTTTTCTTTGCAAAGCTTTTGCCTTCCTAGCAAGCCTTGTCGCTGGCAAGGTGTTGAAGTCTTTAGGTTCTCTTATATGCAAAATCAAATCATCTTTAAATAAGAAAACTGACTTCTTCCTTCCCTATTTGCATCACTTACTTGTTTCAACTGTTTTAGTGTTCTACAACTTGGAAGCATTATATTGGGTAAGAGTGGAAAAAGTCGGCACACCCTTGTCTTGTTCCTGATTTTAATGAAAACACTTTAAATTCTTCTCCTCTTAACGTGATGTTGGCTGTGGGTTTGTCATAGATGGACTTTATTATAGATATATTGCCTACATTCCTAATCTCTCTAGCATTTTCACAATTATTTCTTTTGTTTTTTGACATTCTAACATAATTATATTATTTACCCAGTCCCTTTCCTCCCTCCAAACCCTTCCATAATATCCCTCCTTTCTCTCTTTCAAATTTATGGCCTTTTTCACAATTGTTGGTATGTACATGTGTGTGTGTGTGTGTGTGTGTGTGTGTGTGTGTGTGTGTGTGTGTGTGTGTGTGTGTGTGTCTGTGTGTGTGTGCATGCACATATGTATTCCTAAATACATAAATAAAACCCACTCAATCTGTATTCTATTACTTGTTTTCAAGATTGAGTTTGGTATTGGATAATCAGCTGGTGTGCTCTTTCCTGGGGAAGACTATTTCTCCTGCTCTCAGCAGTCCTTAGTTGTCTATATCTCTCTGTATAGAGCTCAGCTTCCCCACCCACTCCATCTATGTAAGCATGTCTACTGATATTGTCTTTGTTCAGCTCATAATGGAAGATGTTGGAGTTTGTCAAAGACATTTCATTTTCTGAAACTATTAAGATGATTGTATAACTTCTGTTCTTGAGGCCACTTATATGATTCATTAACTTCATTTCTATCTTTGACCATCCCTGCATCTCTGAAATGAAGTCACATTGATCATAATCCTTTAAATCTGTTCCTGAATTTGCTTTGTGAATACTTTATTGATCTACATGTACACTCCTCAAAGAGATTATTAGTCTGTCGTTTTTCTTATTTTGTGTTTCTGTCTCTATGTGGTTTTGGTACTGATGTAATGGTGGCTTCATAAAAAGAGACTGGAAGCTTTCTCATCATTTCTATTTTTTGATAATCTGCTAAACTTTGGTTTTAATTCTTCTTTAAAGATCTGGTAAAATTCTCCATTGAGACCTAGACTTTTTTAGTCATAAGGTTTTATTACTCCTTCAATTTCATTGTTTGTTGTAGGTGTGTTTAAATTATTTATCTCAATTTGGTATGGCATATGCATCTATAAATTCTTTCATCCTTTGTCAGGAGCCATAGTGGACCATGACACAATTGCAACAGATGACAACTGATATGTATGTAGTTGACCCACCAGATGATCAACTAATCTGATGGAGGAAATTCATAAGCAGGGCTTATGAAAATATTGCCTATAAATACTGAAAGTTCCTGTCTATAAGTTCACATGTGCAAAGACAGCTATGGTAATTCCCCAATACCTGCTCTGTAATGTGATGTGTACATGTAATCTCATGATTACATCTCAATCTTATGGGCATATATATTTGGATGGTCAGGGAGATTACATATTACTTGTATAATTTTGATGTATATAAAATATACTGGGATATGCTTCATAACTAGATCTATTGTCTCACAAGGACTGTAAGACACTTAAAAGCCTGCTTTGTTCCTTTTACTCAGACTAACATAAGAAAACAGTTTCTCCCCAGTCTAAGTAAAGCTACACATAATTAGCTCATTTTCACCTCAGAGCAAGTTCAAACTAGGCTAAATGTTTCTGTATATGGATCATAAGTTAAAAACTTTACAGATATGCACAAGATCAGAGTTGCAGATGTCCAACCAAGGTTATTAACACAAAGCACCCTAATATACTATGCCAATTTCTCTAACTAAATTTGGCTGAGAACACAAGTCATTGGCCACACCCTACTAAATTCCTTAGCAATTAATACTCTGAGCAAACTTTTAGCTTATATGTTTAGCATGAATTTTTTGCCTCCTCCTTAAACTTCTCTTTGATTTAGTTTCTCCCCTGTTTCTGTGGCTCCTTCCCCTTTAAGACAGCCAGAACTTTTTACGATCACAGCTGCACCAGCCATAAAGACAGCTAACAAGTTATTTGTGTGAATGCTTTGTGACCCTGAAAAGATAGCCTTAAAACATTTCTATTGCCAAAATATTGTTGTATAAAAAAACTATAGACTTTTGAAACTCAAGAAGAATAAAAAAAGATAACTTGATCTGTGTGTGAGTTCATTCTGTACCCCCAGACACAAAATTATCTCAGTTCCCTTTGATAAGTTGTAGAGTTGTAGCCTCTGTTCTGAACCCTGGAGGAAATCTGCAGAGCTGGACTCTGCAGGCTCTTGATGAAGAATGCAAACTAAAACTACTGTGAGATTGGATCTCACCACAATTAGAATAGCTACTTTCAAGAAGACAAAGAACAAGTTGTGAAGAGGAAATGGGCGACAGGCATCTTTATGCATTGTTGGTGGGAGTATAAACTGGTGAGGCTACTCTAGATACCAGTGTGGAGGTTTCTCAAAAAGCTAAAAGTAAAGCTACTACATGACCAAAGTATGCCAATCCTATAGAATTATCCAAAGGACTCTAGACCTAACAGCAGAAAAAGTTATATAGGCTACCATGGAAGAAAAGTCATCAGTAGACCCTGCTTGAAGATAAAACCACTAGTGCAATAGTAGCAAGACTATTAAGGAAGTACTAAAGGCTTTGCCACTAGATTTGAGATCTTCTCCATGGAAGGGAATTAAGTGACTGTTACCATAAATTTGGTCAAAAACCTAACTGTGGAGGTCACAGTACCTATGGGAGAATGAATGAAAAACTACCGATGCTTTGCCATAATGCCTCCTAAACATTATGTTTATATCCATAGACTAACTCTCAGCTAGGGTCAGAGAAGTTCCTTTTTTGCAGGAGACATTGCTGCAGAGACTCACAACTGCTCAAATTTCTAATAAGTGACCACTGAATACTCCACCCTAAAGAACACATCTATATCATCCCATCCCAGACCAAGGGAACAATCACAGAAGAGGGGGGTAGAGAGACTGGCAGTCAGGATGGAGAGAAGTGCTATGAAATTCTGCCTCCAGGCTAGTCATAAGGCCACTGCAATCACAAACACAAAGTAGCTGTAGCTTCCTGCAAAGCTTCTACACAAGGGGTGGGGTGTTGAGAATACTGAGGAAGAAGGGAGTCAACAGAGGGTAATTAAAGGGAATACAACCACAATGCAACCTACCCATAAATGAAATTATCAAAGTAAATTGAAACTTTCTGAAAAACAGAAATGGGAAGTCACGGTCACTTCTGGGATAGAATGAGAAAGAAAGGAAGTAGTGTAACTATAAAGCATGGTGGAGTTTTCTCTGTTCTTCTATTTCTCACCAACACTTCCCTTTTATAAACTTTCTAGAGCCAGGATTGCAAAAAGACAGTCCATATATATCACTCTGGTAATGCAAACAAACTGAGTAGTTGAAGGCGTAAGTCAGATGGCATACAAACTATGAGAACACAATAAGAATCCTTAGGATAAACAATTAAATATGAACAATGTAGGCTCACTGCCAATTTTTTAATTGTTTGGGATAAACAAATGCAATACTTACTGATGAAAATACAGCTTCCTCAATTCTAATATACTGTGTATGATTGAGCATGTGAAGGATCCCATTACTGAGGACATTCATTAGGATAGGAAAGCAGTGTAGCCTCTTGGTATTACACACAACTGAAAATCTGTAATCCTTAAAACAAACCAAAACAAACAAGTAAGAAAGAATCCTTGAAAAATAGTTATTGCATGTGCATATGTGCGCACACATGCATATATAGGCACACACACACACACACACACACACACAATTCTAGCAGTCACATTTTAGCTATGTGTTGATCTTCAAGTGAACTAGCTTTTCTAAGCCTCCTTTTTCTCATCTATGAAAAAGGAGTATAAATGGGTTCATAAAGTGAGATTATATATTAGATCCTTATGCAGCGGATAAGACAGAACCAGAATCCACTTAATACTAAATTTTATTTGTGTAACCAGTTTTGTATCACTTTGTCCCTATTTTGCTGCTGAGAAAACTTCAGTAAGTAGGGTTCAAAATCCACCCTCACAAGGACAAATTGTCAGTTTACTTAATAGCCTTTAATCCCACCATTTGGGATGCAGTGGCAGACGGATCTCTGTAAGTTAGAGGCCAGCCTGGTCTACACAGCAAGTACTAGGACAAGCTCCAAAGCTAGACAGAAGCCCTGTCTCAAAAAGCCAAAGAGAGACAGAGAACGAAAGAGAGAGAGGGATCTTCATGGTTACATTGCCACAGAAGTTTTACAACTTCTAAAAAATACTAATACTTAATGTTTATGAAAGCGACCATACAATCATCATATAAGGTCTGTATTGTTTGTATTGTCATAATATTAATAATATCAATAGTTTGTGTAGTAAATATACAAGATACACCAAGCATCTGTCAATCAATAGTTTCCCAAAGTTGACATAAAATTATATTTTTTCACAATATATTAAAGCTGAGCTCAATGGTAAACATTTTAAGGCTCCTACTTTAGTTTTGTATTACTTGTAGCAGGAAAGAAAGGAATAATTTGGTTAGTTTTGTCTCTTAGCTTTATTAAAATATAAATGAGACTCAAGTTCTTCTTATAATTAGGATGTATTTGCAACAGATGTGCTCCTTGACAGATTCCCTGGTGACTTCTACTCAGTTTGAAATACATGGAAGTAGCACATGGAGAATACTTTTTTCAGAATATAATGTGTTTTAAATATATAAAATATCATTCACTTGACTGTTGGATAAGGTTGATTAAGTTCATAATTACATTAACAATTCTGTGGTATAAGTCATTTAGTTTTAGCAATGCACCCATTCCCTTTTAATGCAAAATTACTTAATTTAAAACAAAGGCAGAAATTATTTCACCAAAGTATCACAGTTTATTCAATATGGGCTCATATATTTTGCTGAGTCAAGTTATTAAAACAATTAAAATGTAGCATTTTGATACTGTGTTTGAGTATGTGTTGTCACAAAGGTAAAAACCAAGAGGAAAACATACCTTTTGTCTTCCAGAAACTATAATAGCTCCATTGTATGAGAGGCTTTCAGTACCATTTCTGTTTTCAAAGTCATCTACTTCCAAAACTATGTTTTGATGCTTCAGTGACTGTATAAAATCTTCAATATTTGATTCTAGTATGATTTCAATAAGAGATGACAATATAAAAGCAAGTAAAATTTTCATGAGCCCTACAAAGTTAACATTCCATAAGAGTATACCATAAGAGGTGTACTTTATGTATAACATAATAATTCTATTGGCCTAAAAGGATAAATCACTCACTCACCCATCTATTTAGTATATCTTACATTACGTAACTACTGTAAGTTAATATGTGATATGTAAAACAAGATAATTCTATTTTATAATTTTCCTTTAATATGTGTGTAAATTTATAATTTCTGGAAAATTAGTGAGAAATACTACAGATTATTCAGTCTGATAACATTTTCCTCTTTCCCCTATTCTCAACAAAAATTAAATCTAAAAATGTATATGCAATTAATGTTTTCCACATTTGCATATATATTGTATAATATAACTTTATTGGGAAATTAAAAGGGTACCACCACAAAATCAAAAAATTTTTATGTATTCTCAAAGAAGAAAATGGGTGAAATTACTGGAGAGAGAAATAAAAATTGAGAAAAACCTACAGCCTGGTGCACACAGGGGAAAAAGATATAATAATAAGCCAGTTTCTACAACATCAAAACTCAAGGGGATAACTGACTTATTAAAGCATGCTTGACACCACAGCCAGGGTTGTTATTATGCAGCTAGAGCTGGAACAAGATGAGTAGTCAGGGGCCCTCCTGTCTATAGCAGTTGCTATAGTCATATCCAGGAACATTCCTCATTTCTAAGAGATGGTGTCTAAGAAGAACAGCAGGGCAAGACTTGGAGTAACCCTGAGCAAAAATCAAAGAAAGGCAGAATGGAGAACAAAAGAACCCCTTTCTTCTGCATAGAGCTTTAGAATTAGACAAACTTCAAACAAATCTGAGCCCTCTCCCCCAAGACCAGATGGGACACACATAGAATATGATGTTTCCATGTCCCTTGGGGCAGTCACACATCACAACCTCATTCCACGTAAGGGCACAATAACAGTAACTCACATTCATACAAACCAAACAAAGTTTGTCAATCTTTTCTCATATGAAAAGATTAATGCATGGCTAACAATCACATCAAACTTAGAGAAGGAAGAAATACGACAAAATAAATTGCTAAAATACTTGACAACTAAGTACAAGGAGGGGGAAATGAGTGAATACAAGTGTACTACTGGCCTTGGGTTGAATGGAGAGTATACTATGAGAGGGCAACAATCTGATGGGTGAAGGACAATACTAAATGTCAGGAAATAATGTATAACTCAATGCTTACAGAAACAGGAAATTTTACTTCCCAAACCTTAAATGGAAAAGAATGAAGAATAAAAATGAAGACACTCTACAACTTTGAATCAAAAATACATGTGAAAACTGGATTTGGCAAGAAATTCAAGTAATGATGACTACTCTGAATGTTCTAACATCTTCAGAAGAAACATAAAATCTTTCCTTCATAGTTACTTAAAGAGTTATAAAATGATTCCCCACTGGTGTTGTGGGGCACACTTTAACCCCAGCACTCAGGAGCTAGAAGGATCTCCATGAGTTGAGGGCAGCTTGATATACAAAGTGAGTTCCAGAAGAGCTCTTATACAGAGAAGCCTGTCTCAGAAAACCAAACAAACAAAACAAAACAGTGACACATATCCATTCTTTGATATAGTAAGTTTTCCTGAATCTTGAATTTCATCCAAGAGCATGAAGTGTAGACATGTCATCTTTGCATGTCAATCACTATGAATTACATACATGATATAGGGTTAGTAACAAAGAAGTGGTAACAAAGAGACCCAAAGAGAATCTTCAGCTAAGATAAAGGGTTATTTCTCTCCGTCAGAACAGCTATGGCTGGCAGGTATAAAGGAGGGAGGCCAGATGGGGCAGTGACAAGTCCCTTGTCCCTGTTCCTACCAGCTTTGTCCTCTCTAAAACCAGAGAAACTGCACTGTTCCTCATGAGTCATTCTATAAATGCACATTTTTCTTCTGTCAAGAATTTTTGTGCCCCTCATGTACTACTTAACAGTTAAAGATTTATTTCTGAAGTAGAATGCTGTTCACCTGTGTTATTGATGACCAATAGACTCGTTCGCAGACCCTCAGGGAGTTGTCCAGGGGACAGGAAATACAATTCTGTTTTAAATTCCCAGTCGTTTTTTTGCTCTATCACAGCATTAGCCATCTTTTCCATAATCAATGGGAACAGTGCAATTCCAAAAATCAATAGACTAAACAATAAATAAAAGTTACCATAGGATTCTATAGCAATTTTTCCTCAGTAATATATTCTACACTATTTGTTAGATATTAATTCTACTTTATACCAACCATAATTTTAAGTGCTAACATTCTAAAAGTAGTATCTCAACATGTCACAACACTAAAAGGTGTTGTTAAATAAATGTTATTTAATCTCACTGTGAAAATTAAACAGCATGTATCCATAATCCCAATCAAGAATTAATATCCACACAATTCCACTGTCAGTAAAATCAACACTGCATTTATTTCTTGTCTAGCAGGAATGCTAAATACTGTGTTTTACTTTTAAATGTCCTTGTAGTTTAAACCCTTAAAATTTTTTATCTTAAAAAAATTATATTACTCTGATACTCACAAGGTCAAAAATGCTTTTCTCTCTCGTTTTAGTTTTAGGATGCGAAGTCGTGCTATTGCACAGACTTGCATTCCCCAGAGTTTCATTGGGCTCACAGTCCTTTGCACTTCAGAAAGAGAAGGATAGGCTGGCTCCATTTCCTGTAAGCTTTCTGTGTCTCTTATTGTTTCTCTTTTCTCAAAGTCTATATGGACACACACAACAAATATCATCCTAAGGCATAATAGAGTTTTCTTCATAAAAATTTTAAATTATTTTATGTCTGATCTTATCTTTATACCTTTAATCAAAGTAGTTACTTAAGTAACATTTACAATATCTCATGAATCTTATATACCACCACTGGCTTCACTTTTCTTACAGTTACATTCCCACACAATGAAAATTTAAAAATAAAAATGTTTTATGGTCTGGGTGTTGGTGGCGTACACCTTTAATCCCAGCACTCAGGAGGCAGAGGCAGGCTGATTGCTGTGAGTTCGAGGCCAGCATGGTCTCCAGAGCGAGTGTCAGGAAAAAAAAGTTTTATGTTACATTGAAAACATGGTTAAAAAAATAGAATATCAAAATTCTATACACTCTCTGAGAATGTCTGCTAAATATATACCAAAAGAAGAACTTAGAAAGTGCAGACATTCAATTGTAATACTGTTCTGAAGGAGTTGAAAACAATCCTCTTCATAGGGATCAGCAGTTGTTAATGCTTACTTACCATGAAGGCATCAATAATCTGGACTTGTAAGGAAAAGATGAGCTCTGAAAATACTTAACATATCTATGCTTCCCAGACTTGTGAACTATAGGCAGCACGGCTTGGGTAGAATCATCTAACTGTTCCTAAATCAGAAATCCTCATCTTGTAAAATGTTGTCAACTACATTTGTTGAAAGAATTATTAAAGGAAGGAGATACGGGTATATCCCAATCTTTATCCTCATTGCTCAAACTACCTATAAAAGGAAGAGCTCCAAAATGATAGCTATTATATCCCTTAAACTACCTGGAAGTTGGTGAGAATTCTCTCTATTTAGGCCTTTTCTCTTAAGAAGCAAGAAACAATTTTTGTAAGAAGTGATGCTTAGACCCCCATGCCTTTGATCAAGAACATTCACAATTTCAATGTACCCAGGAAAGAGCAACTAACAGGAGACAGAACTGCTGCCATACCGAGTAGTTCAAATCAACTCTACTAGCCTGTGACTAGCTGTATGAGGATGTCAGGTAACCTCACAGCAAAGGTCAAACAATAGAGCCAAATTTACAGTGGCTCACACTCCTTGAAAAGTCATAAAAGCTAGATAGATACGTGGCCATTTACTAATTGATTCTGTGACTTATATAAACAATTTTACTTTGTTTGGTAGTTGATTCTCCTTCCATGTTCATGAAGGCTTCATTCAAAGTTGACATGGAAACTTCGTAATTCACCAAGCCCTGGTCAGAATATTTATCGAGATCTCTGAAGAAATCTAAGTCAAAAGAAGTAATTTATAAAATTTTAAAACAATATAAATATACTATCCCTAGTAAATTAACACTGTCTTAAATGTGATATTTAATAAAATTCAGAAATTTCATATCTTTGAATACAATCATAATTTAAAGGGAGAAAACACTCTCAGAAATTATTATGCCAAACTTTATCTTCAAGATGTCTCACTCTTACAGTCTTAGATTATAATCTTCCTACAGACTTCTCTGAGGAAACACAAGCAGTCATAAAGACTACAGTGTTTTTTAGCACCATCCAAGAAACCCCGTGTAAGCCTCTGCCCATATCTGTGCTTATTTTTGCATGTTTGTAACACTTGGAACTGCTCCTACAAAGACTACCCCTTTTACTTATGCTCTGAATCCCCCAAGGACCTCCCAAAGTGATCTCCTCTCTCCTCCATCATAATTTTCTTCTATATCTGCTGGATTACACAGAATGCTATGGTGTCCACCAAACAAAGATAAATAATAGCTTCCCATCCCTCTCTGTATACATGTTTGGCTCCAAAAGTTTGTCCACATTTAATCTGGCACAGCTTACAAACTCAGGTCCATAGGTTGTCACTTCCCTCCACAAAAGCTGCTCTCCCTTAGGTGACCTTCATAATTTAAATTTGATGAACAAGTCTTTATTTCTCTTATATTATTTTCAAACATAATATTTTCATTTATTCTTTGTAAATTATATATTCATGCAATGTATTTCCATATTCATTCTTCCCTCCAACCTAACCAGGCTCCCCAACCCCCACCCCACCACATCCCATTTTTAATTTAGTCTTAAATTCGTCTTTTTTCTTTGTTATCCCCTCTTCCATTATTCATCTTTAGCAAAACAGTTTACTTGTGCTATGAATACAGCTCAGGAAAAAGAGGGGGGTGTTACTAATCATGTTTCATTTCCATCTAACTACATGTAGAACTTTCAGTTCCTACATCCTTCATGACTTCTCCTTTACTTTATCTCCAAGTTTCAGTTCTAAACAACCTTCTTGCAACTCCCACACACACAGATTCAGTTCCTAATCCATACTGAGGTTCCTTAGTTCATGCCTCACTTTGTCCTTTGATTTCCAATGTCCTATGTATAGTTATAAACTGGGACTCTCTTTTGTTAAATCAAAACACATTCCCTGGTTAAATTCTGGAAAGGGCCCTGATACTATTGTCTCACTGTGATGTAACTATTCTGTGCACTTCTTTATAACAAATACCATTGTTTTCTACTCTATATTTGAAGCCAAAATCTCCAGGTCACACCCTGCATGTATCCCATAAGACAAACCTTTCAGCTTTATCATCAAGGCTGTTTAAAAGACACCTACTCTCTTCCATCTTTACCATCACTGTGGTAGACCAGAGACCTTTTGGGTCTCTAAATTAGCTCCACAGCTAGTGTCTTAGGGTCTGCTCTTGTTCACCTGTATCTGCAGTGATCTTCTTTATGCCAAGAATGAAAATACATTAGCTCTGTATCCTATTTAATGTCATTTAGTGGTTTTTCAATGTGCTTAGAATAAAAATCAATGTCAATAATCAAATAATCAAAGCCTCTTCAGCTCCATGACCCATTTATCTGCCCTACAACTTTACCCATTACTACCCACACTCTGCTCAGTCTCTTCATTTCCTTCAGTTATACTCTTGGCCTTCAATTTCAACTGCATTTGTTTTAGTGGCCTTTGACCCTACTCTGTATAAACATAAGCACTACAGTACCTGGCTAGCATGCATGAAGCTGTGTGTTTAGATTAATCCCTAGCATCAATCATTCGCATACACATACACACACACACACACACACACACACACACACACACACACACACACACACACCTAAAGATGGTCATCACTCTAATTCCTGTGGCTTTGTTTATTATGTTTTCAAACAGTTATAGTGCAATTCTATTTTGTTTGGTCATTCCCCCCATATATTGGAGTATAGGCCCCAAGAGAATAGACTTGTATGTCATATTTAATGCTATATTTATAGTATAAAACAGCATTTTTAATATAACTGATTTGCAAGATAAAAATACTGATTAATATCTCTTTCCCATGGAATATATGGATGACATTATGAACTTCTAGAAGATTCCAAAATCCCACACTTCTGCATGGTTGGGTGACTGTCCCAATATCTTTACAGAGAGAAACTATAGCAAAGAGTGTGTCTTCTAGGATTTGTATGGAGCATTCAGGGAATCTGGATCTGTCCATGCAAGGGACATGGACACTCCATTGGACTAATATCCATTGGCCTGGATCTGTGTAAAGTGACTGCTATGAGCGGGGACATCAACATCAGAGTCTTTGGCTAAGTGGTACCAGCATATACTGCCTATCATCCTTCTCTGACCAAGAAGGTGGGCCAGTTGTACCTCAGGTGAACTTAGTGCAACAAGGGAACAACATAGTATAGAATACCACCTTCCATGATCCTACAAGAACAAAGAGAGAAGGTATGTTTAGGAATAGGACTAAGATCTGAATTCCTAAGTGTTTGCCCTGTGAGACCAAATAATACAATGGGGTTTAATTCAATAAGACCTATAGAGATTTATACTTAATAAACTAAATGCATACAACTATCTTAATACAAAGAAATTAAAATACTTATTCATTTATAACACAAAATATTATAGCAACCATATCATGCATGCATACACACATACACACACACACACACACACACACACACACAGAGAGAGAGGGGGGGGGGGAGACAGTAATTGACACAGTTTACTTTACATAGTTTGTGCTTTTTAGGATTACTTACCAAAAAGACACAGCCTGCTGCTGCTACACAGCAGACTTAAACACCATGCTAAATAAGTAAGCAAAGTTTTTCCTTGCAAATAAATACATGTAAAATAAAATGAAAATAAAAATACTTGAGGCAGAGGCCTTGATGTCACACTCTCAGCTCCACTGTACTCACCAGACACAACTGCTTACTAAAAATATCTACCTGAATGAGAATTTTTTTTCTGACCTAAGGTATGCCAAGTTAATTTTCAGAGCAAGCCAAAAGGGTCAGGTAGTTAATATTCCTGGGTGTGTCCCTGATGGATAGGGGAAATAAATAAGTAGTTTCACCACACCTCTCCACTGGTGTAACTATAAGGACACTGACTCTCACTTCCCCCCAGTGGTGCTATACTTCAGTTGTCTACCATGGTAACATGCTCTTTCTCTCTCCTCTTAATATGTCTCTTCCCTGCTGGTGCTTCCACAGATCATTTACCAAGTAAATACAGTGCACTCAGACCTCCATCTTAAGTTTAACGTTGAATAATAAAGACAAGACAAAACTTAGCTCCATTAAGTAACAAAAATTATAATGAAACCCCAAGGTTTTTCTCTAAATTTATCCCATCATAGTCATATATATTACCTGGAAACTTGCTTGTCCTTTCCAACGGCAAAATGTACACAAGCTTTTCTTTGGTTTTTGCTTTTAATTTAGCATCAGGGATGTGATGATTGATGGAAGATGTTATCTGCTCTAAATCACATGTTTCATCTATAAACAAACTAATGTAGCCAAAAATGACAATTAATTATATTTTGCACACTACCACACAAAAAGTTCTTTGACTATTACTTTCCTTAACTTTATGAAATAAGCAACTGAATAATAATAGCACACCAACTTGAAAACCTTGCCATTTAAACACAGAATATATACAAACTCAGAACAACTACAAAATACACAAGTACATGCTCAGAGTAGCGTTGATGGTATAGCGTAAGCATAGCTGCCTTCCAATTCATTCTTGTAGTTAATGCCATGTATATAGGATACAGATGAGCAGGCAGAGGGGTGATGCTATACAAGAGATTCCAAAGGGAAAGTGATTAGTGCACCTGGCAGTGAACTATCAGAAATAGGTGTGTTATTAACACATTCTTGTTTTGCTTTTCTGTGAGGATTTTGTCTTTTAGAATTCTTTTAGCCTACATTCAGTTTCTTTTTAGATGCAGTTGTCACAATTCTTTGGAACCATATTCGCTCCCTACTAACACTGGTTTCTAAAAGTATTCCCTTGGATTCTTAAGAAAGAATGAAAGTACACATGCAGTGTTATGTATATAAACGAAGAAAATGACAAATGAAAAGGTCAAAGTTTAGGCTGCAGAGAATAGCAAACTGGAAAATGATAAAAATACATCCACAGTGAACAGACAGCTTTGGTTTATAATGTAGAAATTTTGCTAGAGTTAACATTAGTACAGATTATAGGATGCCAAGAAATTAGACAAACAGTTCTCGATCCATTTTGTCAGAGATAAAACTTGCAACCTATTCTCTCTTAGAATTGTACACCCCTGGTATTCCACTATTAAAACACGTATGTTGGGCTGAAAAGATGTCTCAGCAGTTGTCAGAACCTGAGACTCTTCCAGACAATCAGATTCCACCTCCAGCACCTAAGTCTGATGGCTCACAACTGCCTACAGCTCCTGCTCTAGGCAACCCAATGTCTTCTTCTGACCTTCTTAAGCACTGCCACACATGGCATACAGACACAAGTAAAATGAGCAGATCTTTAAAATATATCTATTTAGTCTTTTCTCCAAAATTCTTTACCTTAAGTGATATCCAAGACCCCATTTTCTCTTCAGAAACACAGAAGAACCTGTGCATTTTAGACTCCCGTTGGATAGTATGACTTTTCTGTCTGAGTAAAAGGAAGCAGATGTGAAAGAATATTAGCAATCATTTCTTTTCTCTCTAGCAAAGAGAGGTGAGAAATGAAAGCTCAGAATTCCAAAGAAGTGCTCTATGAGAAATAACCATGCCTGCTGGACACTTGAAAAACTGAAACACATCTTAAAACTGATGTATTGGAGCTCTCAATGCTAATCATTTTAAGCTTCCTTCTGTACTTCCTAAACAGGAAAACAGTTATCACTTCAGGTTACATATGGGTATAGCCTTTATCTGGATGATAAGGAACAGGCAGTAATTTTTCATGTAAACATATATTAAAGATTTGGGAGTTTATGTAAACAGACAGATGATCTGAAAAATATCACCATGAGATGTCACTACTGGCCACATTACAACAAAAGTACAGCCAGGGAGGGACTCCAGAACACAACTGGAGTCTCATATCCTCTAGACTGCTCTGGAGTTGAAGTAATGAGCATAAGGTTCTTTACCTCGCAATAAATGTGGCATATAAATTTCCAAAGTTTTCATCGTAACACTGAAATACAATGATGAGTTACCAGCAAGGATGTCTGCCTCATCCATGAACTGAGTACTAAAGAGAATCACACGATTTGCCTTGCGTTCCTTCAGGAAACTCCACACTCGTTGCCTTGAAAAGGGATCTAGTCCAACAGTAGGTTCATCTAAAAGCAAAATCTATAGAGGATAAAGATATTCAAAATATGACTCTTCCAGGTTAACTATTTCCACATAATAAATAAGTAAGACACAACAAATAAATACAATTGTAGTATATCTTTGTGTAACCAAGCACAGCAGGTTCTTGCCTGATATACTACATTCAGAGCTCTGCCACCATTAGTAGTAGAAGAGAACAGCTCGAGGGGTTGGTGGGGAACATGGGAGGGTGGGAGGGAGAGGAAATGGGGGGATGGATATGTAAATATGAGTTGTAATTAAAGAATAAAAAAAGAAAAAAGAAGAGAAGAGCTCTTACTGACAATCTCTTTTCTTCCCTGCAGAATCCTACTTACTTGAGGATCTCCTAAAGTGGCAATCCCAAAGGTGAGCTTTCTTTTCTGTCCTTCACTTAAATGTTCAACAAGGTTATCCTGAATATTTTGCATGTCCAATTCCAATATAATTTGTTGTACCTATGTTAGAAATATACAAAGACCAAAACACAAAATGATCCACATTTTACAAATTTAACTGCTCATTAAAAATGGCAATTTTAAACGATTTCTTTGCTTAATTTCATTCATACAAAGGCAGATAAGTGACTGAGAGAATTCTGTGGCCGTGGTTGAACACAGTGAATGGATGGGAGCTCAGATAATGCAAGCACACAGTCTACCTCTTGTTTGACTTTCTGTGGAAGAATCCCTTTTATTTTAGCAAAAAGGGTGAGGTTTTCCTTCACAGTGAGTGCATCAAATTGAACATTATGTTGAGGACAAACACCAGTTATCCTTCTGATTTCCTTCAAGTCTTGCATTTCAGAGAGATTTTTATTGTAGACTGTGACTAACCCTAAAAAGTAGAAATTAAAGTATTTTAAGGTTAATAAAATATTTTAAGGTTAATAAAATTGTGAATTCAGCACATAAATATATAAGATTATAATGTTGTTAACAAATACTATTCTTGGCATAAGTACATGCTCACACTATGCAATACATTTTCTTTGAGATAACACACAATGAGATACTAGTGTTTATCATGAAATCTGGAAAGTGAGAAGTATATTCAAAAATTATATAGTACTAGAAAGCAACTTTTGATAAAGATTATTTCCACCAAGCCATATAATTTAAAATGGCAGGCATCCCCCTGTTCTCATATCAAATACCTTGTCTCTGAGGCATTGCTTTTTGCTTACCTGATGTTGGGACATATAATCCATTGAGGATGTTTAGTAATGAAGATTTTCCTGCTCCACTGCGGCCCAGGATTGCTGTTATCTGACTCTCGTATATATCAAGGAACAATCCTGTTTTTATAGTATAAGATATTGACATTATCAATAACAGAGTATCAGACAGGGCTAGTCCTATACACAGAACAAGACAACTGATTTTCATGATGAATTCATCAAAACTTTATGTAACACACTGAAGAACTGTGGTAACTTAAATAATGCTACTGACACACTAATATCTGTAAAATGCACACAACATGATATTAGTTTATGATCCAGAGACTAGCAGAAGTCTGGAATGAACCAAATATTTATAAAATAAAGATTAATAAATTACCTTTCAAATTAATAATTTTCTGTGAAAATGAATCACTTAAAAAACCAGTGCTGCCTTGGATGTAGTGGAATATGCCTTTAATCCCAGCATTTGGGAGGCAGAGAAGAAAGGAAGATCTCTAAGAGTTTTAGGCCAGCCTGGTCTACATAGAGATTCCAGGATATCCAAGGCTACAAAAAGAGACATTGTCTCAAACAAAACAATACAAACAAACCAACCAACAAAAACAAGGAAAAACTATGATGTTGCGCAACTAAAAATGTACATTAGCAACTTTCATATTTGTGTTTTGTTTTTATTTAAACATTTTGAGACAACCTATAGCTGTGTAGCCCTGGCTGACCAGGAATATTTGTTGTTTTTAAATAAAAAAAATACAGAGTATGGGTCAATGATATGATCAGTGGGAGAGGCTCTTGCTGAGGAAGCCTGGCAACCTGAGTTTTATCTCCAGAACCCAAGTAAAAGTAGAAGAGAGAACCAACTCCAGAAAGTTATCCTCTCATCTCCACATTAATACTGTGGTCCATGCACCCCCCCAGTGAACGCATCATGCACATGTGTGCACACACACTAATTAAATAACAGATAAATTAAATACAATAAAACAGTGACACATAGCATTTTCAAGGGCAAGAAGAAAGTGGTGTTGGCTACCCTGGAACTGATCCTTATCACAGTAATAACTAAATATAAAACTCAGTTTCCTAATCAGCAAAGTATGAAAGAAATAATTTGACTTTCATAAAATTAGATAAAAAATTTTTCACATAAAGTTCTTACCATAATTCACAATATACACTAAGTGTTTATCATTGTCATTGTTGTTTTTAAATATGTATAGCTTATAAGCATGGGTTTTCATGACTTTGGAAGTGATTTAAAAAATGTGAATCAGGAATCTTTCTAATATGAATCTTTTCAGTGATTCTGCTCATACAAACCTATCTTTAGGAGACCTTAACAGAAATTAAAAAAATATTCATTTTAGTATTTTTAGGATAGTGAAGACATAGAAATAAACTAAATGTCAGACATTGGTGTGGTAGTGCCTCTCATCCTGTTACTCATACAATGCAATATTACTAGCCAAAGAGATTGTAAAACCAAGTTCTCAAAGGTGATCCAGAGTGGCCACAAGAAAGCCCTAGAGAGAGCAACCAATTCCTGGCTTTCCAGGGAGGAATTTCACATGGAAACCCTCCAACTGAAACACTTGTATTTTTTTTATGTCTTGACACCCAATGTTTTAATTTTTTAAGACCTACTAATTCTGAAAATGGAAGAGAAATTACAAGACATTTAAAGATGTAAAGGTTGTGACTCTGATGTGCTCTGAAATTTTAAATTAAGTTTAAAGTTACTTCAATATATCCTGAGCCAAACTTAAAGAAGGAAGTGGCAGATTTGGATGCTATTTAATGAAAAACATCAAGAAAGAATAAAGTTGTTCACATCTACAACTCTTCCAAGACACGATCTCAGAGGAATGAAAAATATTGAGCTACGAGGTGCCCAGGTTAGAAAATAAACACAGTGTAACCAGAATGAACAGAGAACTCTCAATCTAAAGTAGGGCTTATGATCCATCCGTTTAGCTTTTGAAGACTCAATCTTCAAAACACATGTAAAACACATGTCTTCTTTTATTTCCTTATATATTTATTTTAGACAGGGTCTCACTATGTAGCTCTGGCTGGCCCAGAATTCTCAAGGAAGACCAAGCTGATTTTCAACTCACAGAGATCCTATGGCCTCTGCCTCCCAAATGCTGGGATTGAAGGTGTGTGCTAAACAAAGGATGTGTCACTTGGTCAAAGTGGCAACCTACAGAATGGGAAAAGACTTTACCAACGCCACGTTGAACAGAGGACTAATATCAAAACTATATAAAGATCAGGTGTGGAGGGAGAGGGGAGATGAGGTTAAGGAAGGGAATGTGGAGAAAGACAGTAGGCTCATAGAGGGGCATTAGAGGGCTGGTATAGAAACCTAGTGCAGCGGAAACTTCCTAAAATATATAAAGCTGATCCTAATGAAGTCTCCAAACAATGAGGGAGACAGAGCCCCAACTGACCATCTCTTGTCACCAAACAAAGTTTTCAGTACTGGGACTGGGTTACATCCAATTGAGTTGGGTCACAGGGGTCCCATGGAAATCTATAACAACCCAGGCTGTTGGTAAGACTCTCAGCTGCTCTCCACAAACTGACAGCAAGGCCCCATTGCTGAAGGCAACCCCAACACAACTCGAACATGGAGAGATCAAGCTGGTGCCTACATAGAACCTTCACCTCTGTGGTCCAGTATCTTTGGTATGGGAATGTACTCTGCAGGCTACCAAAAGAGAAATATAAACACCAACCCAGCCACAAAACTTTTGATCTACAATCTTCCCTGCCTGCATAATTTGCTAGGGTAAGGGTGGCACAAAGCTTGTGGGAGTAACCCACCAATATGTGATTTGACTTAAGGCCCACACCATGAAACAGAACCTATACCCAACACTGTTTGTGTGACCAAGAACTAGAGAATAGATAGCCCAGTGACCTAGGGTAAAACCAAATAATACTGGTCTAGAAAAGCAAATGAAACAATAAAATGGTTCCTAATGATATTTTTCTATGCTCATAGATCAGTGTCTTACTCAGCCATCATCAGAGAAGCTTCTTCCTTTAGCTGATGGGAACAAACATAGAGACCCACAGCCAGACATAATGTAGAGAGAGACCTTGGAACACACAGCTCTAAATGGATGTCTCCATCAAATGCTTTCCCTCAAAGCTCAGGGGACCCCAAAAAACAGAGGAGGTGGAAATGGTGTAAGAGCAAGAGGGGATGGAGGTCATCAAAACAAGGCTCTCTAAATCAACTGAACAAAAATCATCTGAACTCACAGAATTTGAAGCAGCAAACATAGAGCTGACATGGGTCCTGTCCTCTGCATATATTTTATAGCTTTCAGTTTAATGTTTTTACAAGGTCTCCTGAGTGTGTGAATGAGTGGGTTTCTGATTCTTGTGCCTTCTCTTGGAGCTCTTTTCTTCAGTTGGTATGCCTTGTCCAACTTCAGTGTGATGCTTTTTTTATTATATTTTATTTTGCTTATGTTTTGTTGTTATCTCTTATAAGCCTGTTCTTTTCTTTTTTAAAGATTTTATTTATTTATTATATATACAAGATTCTGCTTCCATGTACATCTGCACATCAGAAAAGGGCACCAGATCTCATAATGGATGGTTGTGAGCCACCATGTGGTTGCTGGGAATTGAACTCAGGACCTCCGGAAGAACAGTCGGTGCTCTTAACCTCTGAGCCATCTCTCTAGCCCAAGCCTGTTCTTTTCTAATGAGAGATGAAAAGGGAGTAGATCCAGATGGGAGGGAAAGGGGAGAGGATCTGGAGGAGTAGAGGAAAGGGAAACTATAATGATGATGTATTATGTGAGGAAAAGAATCTATTTTTGATAAAGGGGGTTAAAAGGAAAAGGTGCCTCCACATCTAGCCTAAAAGTAAATTTTTAATAAAAGCAGCTGAACCTCCAAAATGTAGTTGTTAATTGATGCTCACTTGATGTTTGTTATATAACTGTTAAAATATTTAGTATTATAATATGCTTAATCATATAAAATTAAAAATTATTTGTCATAAGATATTGATATTTTAGTTTAATTCACTGTTAAAGGTTTCATTAACCTTGTTTGGTTAACATTTGAGTTCACTGACACATCATTAATACGAACTGTGTAAATTCTATGACTATCTAAAAATTTTGTCAGTGTCTAGCATTCTTGGCACTACAAATATAAAAATGTGTTTATGACAACCATCATAAAAAGCAAAATAAAGCATTCTTGTAAATTAATAAGTCCATGAACTATCTGGAAGGATTTTACAATAAATTCTGAATTATTATTAGTGTCCAGATGGTAGAGTTAGGCCACTTGTATTTTTGCTCCTTTTTCTTGTTTTGTTTTGTTAGTATATTTACATTTTCATCCTGAAAGTTTCCCAGGTTTGGGTATTAATAATTAAGTCAAATAAAGAATGGAATATTTTTCTTTACCTTTCAAAGCCTCCACTTTTCCAGACTTCCCTTTATATTCTTTTTTAATATTTCTTATTCTGAAACAACAAACAGCCACTTTATTAGCCAATACACACAAGTAAAAACAGACAGATATAATGGTGGACGTAGAAAACACTTTATAGCAAATAACATGATAAAGATTCTTGGCTCCCCCCCTTGAGGGCCCTACCCTGCCTGGGGAGTGGTGGGTGGATGGGTTGGGGGTTAGGCTGGGGGTGGGGTAGAAGGGATGGGAGTGAGGGGAGGGAGAGGGAGAAGGGACTTATATGTGAAACAAGCTTGTTCCCTAACTAGAACTAATAAATAAATTAAAAAAAAAGATTGACTGCTCAGAGACATAAATAATATTTTCAAAGAATTATTTCTTCTGAAGTGAAAATGAATGAGATGTTCTAGACTTCAGTACCAGACTCATTTTGACTCTGTCATTACATTTATGCAACAAATACAGCAACATGACTATTAATGAGTAATAAAAGTTAAAAGAGATTAAGTCTCATCAAAAATTATATTTAATGCCTTTTTGTGTATTATAATGATGTCCATTGGCCTTATATGTTTTGAGGCCAGCCTTTGTGAAGTTTCAAATACAGGACAATGGCTGAAGTGCCATTTAACATATCAAAGCAGGACCTGACCCAGGTTCTCCCGAATCCCTCAGTCCCTATCTACTACATGGTATGGCTTGCATACTCTGCCCTTTACCCTGAACTCTCCAGCCCAGGGGTTGGGCTGCCCCTCCTCTAGAGGCTCTTCCCTATATAATCCAGACATTTTGGTTACCATTCCCTTTTTGGCCTTTGGCCACCTGGCTGTTGCACCAGGTTCCAACCCCTCCTCTTCTCCCATCTCCCCATATGGCCCAGCTTAGTCTGGTCAAATTGACTCTGGACTCTCCCAGATGTCCCTGCCTCTGACTGTGCTCTCCCACACATCTACAATAAACTTTCTCCTCCACCACACCTAGGAGATGTCATGTCCTTCCCTTTTTATTTCTTTTTTTTCATTCAGCCTTAAAGGACAATTAGGCAGGCATGGAGGCACATGGGTACAATCCCCAGCACTTGAGAGGTAGAGGAAAGAGAAACAGAAGTGCAAGGTCTTCTTTGATTATTAAACATGGTATGAGGCCAACCTGAGCTATAGGAAGACCCTGTCTCAAAAAAACAAAAGCAAAACAACAGAAGTTTGAATACAAACCCAAAAGATAAAAGCAGTAAGTCAGACAAGATAAGACAAGGTTAGACCACATAGAGGTAATCACAGGGAATTTCCCTTCCAAGACGCACTTAAGAGAAACGATAAGTGATAGCAGTGGAATGTGAATGGTTCATAATGGTGCTGATGAAGACAATGCCTTCTCCTTCAACATTTACCACACCCACAGATAGCTACAAATGCAGTTACCTGATGGCTTCTTTTCCCTGGTACTCTGGAGCCACAGGCTCAAAACTATCATCTGAAGGAAGCTCAGGGTCTATGCCTCTCTCAAGGACCTGGTTACTACTACTCTTTTGTTGCAAACAAGATGATGAATTCAAGAAAAACAGTGGCGAATAACTGTGCTCATTCCCATCTAATTAGGCAAGAACAATAAAATAATAGATCAGTATAATTACAAAGAGCCTTGCTAATAAAGAAGAAAAATTTTGAAATTTCAAACATCATTTAAATTTTTTTCCTTCAAATTTCCTACTGTTCAGGAGAAAGGTGATAAACAATGAAAATTTAAAGCAACATTGCAAAAATTAATATATGAGAACTTCCAACAAAATATAAAATAAATAATTGAAATATGTAACTTAAAAGATATCTATAAGGATAGGTGAGATAAAATACTTAGAAACACAATTATTAATATAGTACATAAAAATTATAGATATGTTTATAAACTTAAATAAGTTCATCATGCCAATATAATAGAACATGATACTAGAATCTACAAATTCATATATAGGTAGGTACATGAATGAAAAACAGCAATTCAGAAGTTATTTTTTCAAGACAAATACAATATTGTATATTTTTAATGTAAAAGATGTTAAACATTATTTATTATTAAGGATCTTCATATATAAGCCTGAAAAATAGAGCATGAGCATACAAATAAATACATATGAGTATATAAGACAGCAGTAGCTATTATCAAAGCAGGGGACTATTGAAAATTAAAAGTGTGAATAAAGACATGTGTTATGATAGTTCTTTCTGCCAAAAGCAGCCTGAGCCCTACTGCCACATGGGCAGTCTCTGCCTGAGTTCTGCCCACCAAGTTAGGGCCCAAATTAATGCACAGAGACTTGTATTAGGTACAAATGCTGCTTGGCCAATGACTAGGATTTCTCATCTGCTATCTCAGTCTTATTTATCATAAATCTATATATTTTATAAGACTTATCTTATCAGACCCCTTCCATTGGCATCCTCCCTTGTTGGTGGACCACATGGCGCTGCTGGAGGAAGAGCCAAGGGGAAAAGGGGACACTTCCTGCTTGTCCTTGCTTAAATATTAATCTCCTTGCTATGTCACTTCCTGCCTGGATCACCACTTCTCTACTACATTTCCCAGAATCCTCTTTGATTCTAGTCCTAGTCCCGCCTAACTTGCTGCCTCATTGGCCAAACAGTACTTTATTCAACAATCAATAAGATGAACATACACAGTACATTCCCTGTCAAGACATGCATGGGAATGAACACTCTGATTCTAGTACATGTGGAAGAACTTTGGGCTTATGTGAACTTTTTAGTTATTGGCAAGATAAAGAAAATTAACTGCACAATTTACATATTTGCAAATATAAACAAAATGTGCAAATGTCGAGAATAATCACTAACAATTATTTATTAGAAAATGTTTCTAGAGTGTAATGGCTCAGTAATAACCAAACCACAGTAAGAACTAAGTATTGCTTTTGAGGTTTTCTTCTGAAATGCTTTTTAATTTTTGAGTTTCTTACTTCCATGGTATTTACCACTCTCAGACTCAGCTCTTCTAGTACATCCCTTGTTGTCCACCCAGAACTGTTGGCCTCACCTTAGTACCAGGAGTCTGCTCCTACTCTCATGCCTCTCTTTACTTTTTCAGGTTGTTCTGACATAAATTCTTACTATCTTTTTTTTCTAGTCAAGTTTAATTTATTTTCTATATTACATTTTTATTTTAAAACAATCTTTTCTCATTTTACATACCAATCCCAGTTCCCACTCCCTCTCTTCCTCCTGCTCTCCCCACCTTACCCCATCCATTCCTCAGAGAAGGTAAGGCTTCCCATTCTTACTATCAGCCTTTCAAAACACTTTTAAGGATATTTGAAAAAGTAATAAAATTTAATTAATATTTAATTACATTCCAAAGTTGACTTATATAATTATACTATTGTTTTAAAATCAGAATATATAATATTGCACAAATGTTATTGATTCTAAAATATAACTAAATTTGGGCTAAGATTAGGCATATATTCTAGCCTCTAGAGCTATTTTAATAAAACCTTAAGAAAAACTTTTCTATGTAATCAATAACTGGAAGGTCAGAGAAGAGTCCATTAATACTTACAGGGCAAGATTTTGTCAAAATACAATGCCAGAACAAAGTAGATAAGAGCATCAAAAGCCAATATGGAAAATGTCACTAGTATTAAATATGATTCTCCTGAAGGGTCAGGAAACACTACACCATTCAAGTTATAATCCAAGGAGATAATCTAAAATTCAAACAAAAATAATAATAAATTCCTAAGCTCTCCTAAACTCATAAATAAGATGGCATAGCACCAATAATTATTAGTTTGCAAGTTAACTTTTTAAAGAAATATTTTAACAAAGGTATAGTAAATAATAAGCAGTCTACAAGTAAATAAAGCTACTAGGGATGCAAGACTGAGTAAATATTTGAAAATAAATGAATATAATTCTACATGTAACAGAATGAAGAGGAGAGATATAATTGGTACATGAGATGCATAGAAAGCACTGGAGAAAGTTGGGTATCCATACTGCAGGAGATTTCTTCATAAACTAAGATGAGATGTCTACTTGAAAAGTCATGCCTAAAAGCAAAATGCTGAAAGTTTTCCTTTGCTTGCATTCCCATGCAGCAAGTCAAGGAGCTTGCAACCGTCTATAACTCCACTTCCAGGCGATCCGATGCCCTCTTCTGTTCCTGTGTGCACTGCATGCACATGGTGCACACACATACATATGGAATAAAAATAATAAACCCTCTCTTAAATCTATTCATCAAAGGAATCAATTAGAAAGGAGAAAAGCTAGCGATAACTGGGCGGGGGGAGTCTGGTACACAGCATATGTAGGAAATTGTTATAAGTAACAAGGAAAATATAAAGAACTCAGTGGAAATGCAAAGAAAAGATCTGAATGGACAATCTGCAAAAGAAAAACACAAAAAGACACTATGTGAAAAGGCATCCAAGTTTATCAAAAGTATGAAAACATTAATGAACACAATAATAAATCACATATTCATCAGAATGGTTACCTGTTGAATGATGGTATATTTAGAGGTGCTTCACAATGAACACAGCAATCTATCCGTAAAAAGTACATAAGTACACTGATGAACCTTACAAATTTTGTTGTATTTATATCTTCTAAGATTTTCATAATGATTCATAATTTACACAACAAAATGTTTTAAAATAGGTTCACACAGAATTTTAAATAAATTAGCAGTTTTTATTTTTTAATTTTTTATTTAATGGAAATTCTTTATAATGTAGCAAATTTAGCTTTATCAATGGAAAGTTACTCTGGTTTAAAAAAAAAAAAGCTCTTGGTTAAGGCCATAGTGGAATATAAAGAGTTATCAAGTATTAATTCCTTTTGAAGCATCAACAATAACCTATGTTTTTACCTTAGCCATCCCAGAGGTGAAAGCAAAAGGGCTGCAAATACTCAGAATCCATTCCAGAGATGTGGGGAGTTGTTTATGAAGTACAGTGAACCCCACACACCCCCAAAAGAGGGTAAAGAGAAATATGACTAGATTGGTGAGGATAGCTTTCTGTAACAAGACAGCCATCAGGAAAGCTACAGTTATCTGAAACAGAAAAAAACATTAGCTGTTGCAGGTCATAGCCTTTGAGGCTCATCAGCAAAACTAGGCTCATTGCTTCAAACAAGATATCATCAATGAGAAAGTGAAAGGAGTATGAAGTTATACCAACTCTGCTCTGCCCTCAGGTTTTTGTTTTTTGTTTTTTTAACATCCTTACATGCCCTACCCATTTGCTAGGCTTTTGTTTCTCAGACGACATAGGGAAATATGAAAGATAATCCAAGAATAGGGTCAAAACACAATTCTGGGAATTAAGAAAAGCTAAATTAGTATACTAAGGTCAATTATCTGTATGACTTCTGCAGAAAACATCCTAGAAGATGAGAAAATACAAAAACCACTGTTCAGAGAAGGATGGAGAGAGAGAGATGGGCAAGAGGCAAGGGAAAAAATAAAGATAAACTCAAGAGGTTGGGAAGGATGCTATGTGGAGATCATCAAGAATAGATCAAACAGCAGAGGATATCTGCCTCTACGGAAATGTTACGGTGAATCCTATTAATTTGTTTAATAACATGTGTTAGTAATTATAGTAAACACCATTCAAATCATATGTGGCACTTTTTCTTTAATCCTTGAGTTAGAAAATTTTTGAGCTCCTCTTTCACTGTGTTTCCCTAAATCCAGTCCCCAGGTCTCATCCCCAGCTCTACAGCAGAAAACCCTTGGCAATTTTGTCTGCCTCCCACCTCCCACCTCCCACCACCAGCTCGTATCTCCTGTGGATCCCACAGATCTCCCTCTTCTAACCTTCCTCTCATTCCTTGTTATTGTGTCCCAGACCCCCAACTCCAGCAGGCATCCCCTGCTAACCCAAGGGGTGCTCCTCCCTGGGACAACACCCACCCCACTCCTAGTCTTCCTGAGATTCAATCCCCCAAGTCTCATCCCCAGTGCTGTAGCAAGAAAAATGTTGCAGTCTCCCTTTCCTCTCTCACCCCATCCCCAATGGATCATGAAGACCTCTTCCAGCCTTCCTTCCCCCAACTTATCCCAGTATTGCAGCCTCCAACTCAACATTCTCTGTGAATGGACATGTGAACAGGCAGGAAAACAGGCAACACACAGCCATCACACTATACAAGTGATGGGGGAAGTACTTCTGTGTTTGTTTATCTTATTGATTGTTAAATAAAATACTCTTTGGCCAATGAGACAGCAAGTTAGATGGGACTAGGCGTCAAAGAGAATTCTGGGAAATGTAGTAGAGAAGTGGTGATCCAGGCAGGAAGTGACATAGCAAGGAGACTCATATTTGAGCAAAGGAAACAGGAAGGGTTCCCCTTTGTCCCCTTCACATCCTCCAGCGGCAGGATGTGAGCCACCAGCAAGAGAGGGTGCCAGCGAAAGCATCCTCTATAAGAAAAGTCTTATATAATATATAGATTTGTGATAATCAAGACAGGGCTAACAGATGAGAAATCCTAGTCATTGGCCAAGCAGCTTTGTACCTAATATGTCTCTGTATTATTTTATCCATCCACACATCGGGCAGAACTCAGGCAGCTAGCAGAGACGCCCAGGTGGCGGTGGGACTTGGGCGGCTTTGACTGAAAGATTTATCTTAACATACGAGACTCAAGAGAAGAAACAGAAATCAAGTAACAAAACACCAACCCAACAAAGACAAATCCAGAAATCAGCACCTAGACCTATAATCATTCCAAACCCAAATGCCTAGACTTTAGCAGAAAAACACAATCAATAACAGCCAGGGCAATATGTTTCCACTAGAGCCCAGTTATCCTACCACAGAAAGCCATGAGTATTTCAACAAAGCTTAAGCACAAGAAAAAAATATCTTAAAACAGCCATTATGAATATAATAGCAGTCCTTCAAGAAAAAAATTAATAAATCCCTTAAAGAATCTAGGAAACCACAACAGTTTAAAGAAATGAATAAAACTATTCAAGACCTGAAATTCATAACAGAATCAATAAAGAAAACATAAATTGAAGGAATTCTGGAAATAAAATTTTAGGAATTCAAGCAAGAACAACAGAGACAAGCTTCACCAACAAAACACAAGAGACGGGAGAGATAATCTCAGGCAATGAAAATATGACAAAAAAATGGATATATCAATCAAAGAAAATGTTAAATTTGGAAAACTCCTGATTTTAAAAAAATAACAAACAGGATATTTGGGACACTACGAGAAAGCCAAAGCTAATAATAATAGTTATGGAAGAAGTAAAAGAAACACAGTTCAAAGGCCCAAAAAATGTTTTCAACAAAATCACAGAAGAAAATCTTCCTAACCTAAAGAAGGACATGTCTATAAAGGTATAAGAAGCTTACAGAACCTCTTTAATATTGTCCTTGAAGTTCTAGCTAGAGCAATAAGACAACAAAAGGAGATAAGGGAATACAAAATGGAAAGAAAGAAGTCAAACTCTCACTATTTGCAGATGATATGATAGTCTACATAATTGACCTGAAAAACTCAACAAGAGAACTCCTACAGCGCTGATAAACACCTTCAGCAAAGTGGCAGGATACAAGATTAACTCAAAAAAATCTGTAGCCCTACTATATACAGATGACACATTGGTGGAGAAAGAAATCAGAAAAGCATCACCCTTTACACTTGCCACAAACAACATAAAATACCTTGGAGTAACACTAACCAAAAAAGTGAAAGACCTGTACCATAAGAATTTTGAGTCTCTAAAGAAAGAAATTAAAGAAGATACCAGAAAATGGAAAGATCTCCCATGCTCATGGATAGGCAGGATCAACATAGTAAAAATGGCAATCTTACCAAAAGCAATCTACAGATTCAATGCAATCCCATCATAACATAAATCCCAACATAATTCTTCACTGACCTTGAAAAAACAATTCTCAACTTTATATGGAGAAACAAAAGACCCAGGATAGCCTAAACAACCCTGTACAATAGAGGAACTTCTGGAGGCATCACCATCCCTAACTTTAAGCTCTATTACAGAGCTATAGTCCTGAAAACAGCTTGGTATTGGCACAAAAATAGACAGGTAGAATTGAAAACCCTGATATAAAACCCTCATATTAACACACACACCTATGAACATCTGATTTTTGACAAACAATCCAAACATATACGCTGGAACAAAGAGAACTTCTTCAACAAATTGTGCTGGCATAACTGGATGTAAATAAGTAGAAGACTACAGATAGACACAAGCCTTTTGCCCTGCACAAACTTAAGTCAAAGTGGATCAAAGACCTCAACATAAACCCAGCCACACTGAACCTACTAGAAGA